CAAGAGGAGAACCTCGTATTCGTGGATTGACTCTTTGAATCTCCTTTCCCATGGATGTTTCCGATGCCTTTGGAGAAAATGTGGCATGACAAAATATTGCATGCCACGGCGATGTTATATAGGACATGCCCTAATTTATTTAGCGATGGACACGTGTCATCGCGGGCCATTGTCGAAATTTTTTCAAACTCTTAACTAGCATCTATCTCTCTCGCCTTCACGGCCTCCCTCTCCCTCTCCTGTCTGGGGAAAGAGACGCGCTCTCCTCCCTCTCTCTCCATGCTCTGCCCTCTCTCTCTCTCTCTCTCTCTCTCTCTCTCTCTCTCTCTCTCTCTCTCTCTCCCTTCCAACTCGCATTCGGCTCTGCAAGTCTCCGTTCCTCCTGCCCGACTCGCATCGAAGCTTTGCAACTCTCCGTAGTTCTCTCTCCCTCTCTCTCTACTCACATTCAGCTCTGCAGCTCTCCGTCCCTCCCGTCCGACTCGCAACGAAGCCCTAAATCTACTCTCCCTCCCCAGTCTCATGCGACGTCAGAATGAGCTAGCAGAGAGCGACCGGCTAAGGAAGAAGGTGAGAGTGAATTTTGTTCTGCTTTTGATTTAGAGATAGGCTGATTTTGTAGTGAATTTGTTCTGCTGTTAAAGGCATTAGCTTGATAATCTTGCATTTACAATGTGGCGAACTTGTTCTGCTTGGAAAGGCCTTAGCATAACAAGTTCCATCATTTACTGAATTGCCGTTTTCATCTCTGACTCTATTTCAGTCTCTTGTATATCAGTGTATTGGCTGAAATATAGCAAGACATATACACAAATGACATTCTGCCAACAAAGCAAAAACTCACTACAGGAACAAAGCTTGAGAAAAACAGTAAATAAATCCAACTTAGCTTATGAGGAACAACTCTTCAAGAATCCTGAAACACCAACAAAAATTTTAATACCATTCAATTCGATTCTATCAACAACCCAAATACTGTAGAGTCGGGCAGGAGTGACAGAGAGTTATAGAGCTTTGTTGCGAGTCGGGCAAGAGGGATGGAGAGTTGCAAAGCCGAATGCGAGTCGGGAGGGAGAGAGCGGAGCATGTTGAGAGAGGGAAGAAAGCACGTCAATTTTCTTAGACATGACAGGGAGAGAGGCCGTGAAGGAGAGAGAGAGAGAGAGAGAGAGAGAGACACGCCCGCAATGAGTTTGAAATTTTTTTTTACAATAGGCCCGCGATTACACGTGTCCACCGCTGAATGGACTAGTGCATGTCCTACATGACATCACTATGGTATGCAACATTTTCTTGATACTTTGCATGGATTTATTACTAATCGTGGGACCACCCGACCCCCCCCCCCCCCCCCCCAAAAAAAACTTTGTGGGCCCCCCTTATATCAACAACCAACAAAAGTCGACTTCATAATCCTTAAATTTTGGCCTAATGTATAATGCCGTCTCTGAACTTTTAGTTTATTCAATGTGATCCATAAACTTTTAACTTTTTTGATGTGGTCTCTTAACTTTTGGTACATATTCAATTTAGTTCATGAACTATATGAAAATATTCAATGTAACAAACTAAAAATTCAGGGACCACATTGAACAAATTAAAAATTCATGGACCATATTGTACATTTGGTCAAAGTTCATGGACCATTTGTATAATTATCCCTAAAACTAATAAGAGATTCCAAGTAGCCATGCTGAAGTTTGAATTGCATCATTAACCTATTTGTTAATAGATTCTAGAAAGTTATTTTTAATGTTGACATGGCAATTTTTTAATATTATTTTTATTTTTTCAAATATTTTTATTTTTTCTTTTCTTTTCTTCTTCCTTTCCTTTTTTTTTCCTCATCTTCAATCTCTGGCCGGTCGCTGGCGCCGGCGACCGGCTAGAGGCGGGGGCTGACAAGGTCAGTCCCGTCAGTCGCTGGCGAGGCTCGACCTCACTGTCGTTGGGCGAGGCCAACCTTGCCAGTTGTTGGCGAGGACGAGCCCTCACCCAGCGGTGGCGAGGTTGAACCTCACCAGGGTTGGCCTCGCCCGCCCCTGGAGAGGTTCTACCTCGCCGTTGCTGGGCGAGGCCGACCTCGTCCTCGCCGGCCCCTGCCTCTGGCTAGTCGTCGATGCCGGCAACTGACCAAAGGTTGAAGATGAAGATAAGGAAAAAAAAAGAAAGGGAAAAAGAAAAGAAAAGAAAAAATTTTAAAAAATTAACGAAAAAATTCGAAAAAATTTAAAATAATTTTAAAAAATTACCACATCAGCATTGGCCAACCAATCGGCATCCACGTCAGCGCCGGCCTGCCAAAAATGGCCGGATGGATTGAATTGACACAATTTAAAAAGGTTTAGGATTGAATTGGTACAAAAAAAAGGTTTAGGACTCAATTGGCACAATTGCAATAAGTTTAGGATTGTTTTGGTAATTTTCCCCATTTTCATCTCTAACTCCATTCCAGTCTCTTCTATATCAGTCCATTGGTTGAAATATAGCAAGACATATACATAAATGACTTTATGTCAACAAAGCAAAAACTCACTACAGGAGCAAAACTTGAGAAAAACAGTAAATAAATCCAACTTAGCTTTCGAGGAACAGCTCTTGCAGAATCCTAAAACACCAACAAAAATTTTAATACCATTCAATCCAACTCTATTAGCAACCCAAATATTGCAGAGTCAGGCAGGAGCAACAGAGAGTTGCGGAGCTTCGTCACGAGTCGGGCAGGAGGGACAGAGAGTTGCAGAGCCGAATGCGAGTCGAGAGGGAGGGAGGGAGGGAGAGAGCGGAGCATGGAAAGAGAGGGAGGAGAGCACGTCTCTTTCGTCAGATAGGGGAGGGAGAGAGAGGCCGTGAAGGAGAGAGAGACTTACAAGTTTAGGGATCACATTATCAACCATTGATGGAAAAAATTTTGACAGTAGGCTCGCATTGAACAAATTAAATAAATTAAAAGTTTAGGGATCACATTAAACAAATTAAAAATTCATAGATCATGTTGTACATTGGGTCAAAGCTCATGGACCATTTGTATAATTATCCCTAAAACTTCTAAGACATTCCAGGTAGCTGTGCCAAATTTTGATTTGCATTATCAACCTATCTGTTAATAGATTCTAGAAAGTTATTTTAGCTTACAGTTATGTACGTTTTTATTTTGCTTCCAACGAAACACCTAATTGAGTCCCTCGATTCTTTTCTTATACTCTCAAGTCTTTTAACCGCGTGATTAAAGCAATCGAGTGTTATTATTTCTTATCGCTAATTGCCCTTTCTGTTTGATGTGGCGTTAAAGATAAAACGCGGAAGTGCTTAATAACACCGAGGTGTTGCGCCGCGTCAGGACAGTCTAGAAAAGAAGATGTGAGATGCTTGTGGCTGATGTACTATGTAAGGGGACCAATTGAGACAATTCACGTACCTCACGAGCAAAAAACTAACGATGATCCAAATCAAAGATGGGGGTTCATTCTAATGACCTTTCTTTGTCCGGTAGGTATTGGGTACGTGAGTCGGTCAACAATACGTGAGCCCACCATGCACGGTGGAAGAATAGCTTGTTCATGTCGGCCGTCGGTGTTGTTTAGCGTTGGGTGATGAAAGTGGGGTGCATTCCAAGTGAAATGAACCACGTGCTTAATTAATTTTATTTATTTATTTTCACATTGCGTCATCTTTCTTATCTATTTTCGTTTTTTGGTTAATACTACAAAAAAATCCCAGACTAATACACCGATAATAAATTTACCTCAAACCACAAAAAACCCCAAACTGGTACACCTGTGACAATTTTACCTTCCGTTAATTTTCATTAAATTTTACTGTCAAATTTCTGAATTAGATGACACGTTGCAATTGACTGGTGTACCAGTTTGAGGTTTTACCCTCCGTTTGTCATATATATATACAAGTCTGTAATTTTTCGTGGTATTAATCTAATTGAACGGAGGATAAATTTGTCACAAATGTACCAGTTTGGATTTTTTACTGGAAAAAATTAGTTTTTGGTAAATTTGTCACATGTGTACCGGTTTAGGATTTTTCGTGGTAAAAAATTAGTTTTAGGTAAATTTATCACAAGTCTATCAGTTTGGGATTTTTTATAGTAGTAACTCTAATTTAAATATTAAAAAGGGGGTTAATACCGTGAAAAACCCTAAACTGGTGCGTCTGTGATAAATTTACCACAAACTAATTTTTTGATCACCTGTAACAAATTTACCCAAAACTAATTTTTTTACCACAAAAAATCTCAAACTAGTACACCTGTGACAAATTTACCTTTCGTTAGTTTCCATTAAATTGGATTAAAATCCCAAACTGATACAAACGAAGGGTAAAACCCTAAACTAATACACCCATCAACTGTTACGTGTCATCCAACTTAGCAAATTAAAGTTAAAATTTAACGGAAACTAAAGGAGAGTAAATTTGTCATTGATGTATCAGTTTTGAGTTTTTTATGGTCAAAAAATTAGTTTGGAATAAATTTGTCACAGGCTTATCAGTTTATGAGTTTTTTGTGGTATTAATCATTTATATTACGCAATGGGAGATTGTTATTATAATCGGTAAAACCGATTTCATAAACCGTATTTGTAGCATTTTGAATAATCATATTTATGAGCAATCTCTTGACGGACAGACATGAACCAATTCCAACAGAAATCCTAAACAAGATAGGCAAATATAATGATCTGTTCTTTTGACCTGCAAATGTAACTGGCAAGTACCCCGCGACTACAAGAGTACTTTTAAACAGGTGTTTCTAAGTACCTTTACAGAACAGATCCCCCAACTCCTTAATGATTGCCGAATCAAATAAAGAGTGAATCTCGGTCATCGATAGTAAAACTTTTAAAATTTCACGTTATGACATTTTGTACAAGACTTATGGAAAAAAAACAAGAAATTATGACCTGTCACGGCCTGAAAATCCGTCTCTCGATAGAACACGAAACTGCCCCTTTCGAACTCCTTTCAATTAGATTTACAACAGCATCGAATATTAAAACAATCTTCATGACAAAAAAATTGAAACAATTTTGCTACAATCTTACAGCAAACAGTTTCCCCAGAGACTTTCTATTTACAGGAGACATCAGGAGTTAACACGATTCTAAATTCTACCTGTATTGACCACCGCAGACCCACCAAGATTGTGGCACTTCTGCTTTCACTGTGCAACTGGATGCACCTCAACGCTTTGCTCCTCTCTTGGCAAAACCCGCAGAGCAAAATCCTAGGACTAACTCTTGTCTGTAGCCCTACATGAGCAATTTGTCCAAGACAGAGATTGTCTTGATTGATCACCATGCCAGTGGATCATGCAATTTCAATGAGAACCAACACGAATGGAATGGTTCAGGCTCCTATAAAAGAATATCCGACTTCTGTGTTCCTCAACGGACTTAATCAGAATGACTCCTGCAAGTACATGGACATGTCCTGAAGAGGCGAGAACTGATCCAACTGAAACTGCCCTTGCGCGAAAGCGTCGTCCAAGAAGTTATCCATTGAACCGAACTGGAAATCGAGGGCCTTCTCCCAATCGTCCCACTTCTCCTCACTCTGCACTTCCTTCTCGCATGCCAAGTCTGGGGACACCGCATGCTCCGAGCAGCTAGAATCTGTGTGCAGCCTCGGCATCGACTCCGACGAGTCCATGTACAAGTGATCCGTAGTCATTGGCGAATGCCCATATTGGGGAGGTGGGTACGGATTTGGCGCCACCGGCATGACAATCTGCGGCTTGGTCTCCATCTCCGGGAACACTGCCGGTCGTGCGGAGGGGAAATGCTTCTCTATGGTGCCCTTCTTGTTGTATATCCGGCATAGAACCCAATCATCAAGCTGCAATAATAGCAAGGATCGATGTTAATCATTGAGTTTTCTTTATGAACTCGTCCAATTACATGTGCTGTAACGCCAAAAACAGTGCCAATAAAGGAAATAGAGTAATTACCCTCGAGTTCTTCTTCTTGCCGGCAGATCGATCGACATTGGCGAGGCGATACTCGTGCATGATCCAATTGGTCTTCACTCCTCTTTGAGTTTTTCCGGCGTAAAACACCAGCGCCTTTTTTATGCCAAGCGTCTTTGGGCGGCCGATCAGCTTATCAGCCCCGGTCGCCTTCCAGTACCCAGTTCCGGCTGCCCGGTTCGGCCGTGATCCGTTGGGGTACTTGCGGTCCCTCGGAGAAAAGAAGCACCATTCTTTTTCGCCGTACAGAGCGATTTCTGCAATTCCAAGCCAAACTCCATCAGAAATCATGACCCTCAGCAGACAATCAAAGTGTTTCAAATTCACAAGAGATCTTGAAGACTTTTTCTTGATCCACATGTAAAAATGAAAAGTTCAAACTGAAGAGCATTGGACCTCCCAAAAGGCATCAGATGAGGACAAGAGAAATACATTTCATATTATCCAACCCAAAAACAAATACATTTCACATTACAGAGACAAATCCATATAAAGAACGAAATTTTGATGACAAAATCACCCAAAAGGGAGACAAAATTCGTCGACCCTTTTCCCAAAATGGGATGATTCACCAAAATGAACACAAGCAGAAACAGAAATTGTTCAGGAACAGAGCCTGGAGAAGCAGAGGAAGGGAGGCAGCGTGTCAAAGTACCTGGAAGGTCCCAAGGGTCGAACTTGTAGAGATCGATCTCGGCAATGATGGAGACGGAGATGGGGTGGGAAGCGCACTTGCGGATCAAGTAATGGTTCACCAGCTCGTCGTCGGTCGGGTGGAACCTGAACCCGGCTGGTAACTCCAATTGAGCCTTCTTCATCTTCTCAACCCCGTTCGTCTTCTTCCGCGACTCTTTTTGTCCGTGCCCTTTTCTTCCAAGCTTTGAACTCCTCCTACTTTTGGAACTCGAATCCACACAGCAGCATGAGACGACCAGGGGTTTATATACAAACACGAACTCTGCCGGTTGGGGTAATTCAGACACGTGCGGTAGACAGATCCCGCACAGCGACGGACGAGGGCACGAAAGGCAACGACCGAAGCTTCTTCAGCAACAGGTGGCGACGGCAGCCAAGACAGTTGAGTCGAATGGTCAACCTCAGGTCGACACGTGTTGGAGGGCTCTTCGGTTCGGTCATGGCGTACGTCAGCTAATTTGTCTGAACTCGGCGAATGGGCAGAGGGGAGGGGCAGCAACAGTATTTAAATGATCTCCTGCGACTCCTTGACCGTCGCTCCTCCTTTTTGCCCTTTTGCCCCTTCATTGAGTCCAACCCTCAATTCTTTTGGCAAAAACATCGTGCCCCATGCGCAAAAAAAATGTGCCGTCCCACGATACGGTCTTAGTCTCGACTGGACAACATCAATCTATGCCTTAACGCTCTCAAACCTCAGAAATCTTCTGTTCTACAAGATCCATGGAGAGGCAGGTGAAAAATGTATTAATAAAAGGGTTAATATTACGAAAAATTTCAAATTAGTATACGTGTGATAAATTTACCACTAACTAATTTTTTTTACTACAAAAAGCCTTAAACTGGTACATCTGTGATAAATTTATCTTAAACTAATTTTTTGACCACGAAAAATCCAAAACTAGTACACTTGTGACAAATTTACCCAAAACTAATTTTTTCACCACCAAAAACCCCATACTGGTATATTTGTGATAAATTTACCCTCCGTTAAATTTGATTAATAGAAAAAAAAATCATAAACTAGTACACATGTGATAAATGGAGGATAAAATCCCAAAGTGGTATATCCATAAATTGCCACGTGTCATTTAATTAAGTAATTTGTCAGTAAAATTTAACTAAAACTAACGGAGCGTAAATTTATTACAGGTGTATCAGTTTATGATTTTTTGTGGTCAAAAAATTAGTTTGGAGTAAATTTGTACAGGCGTACCAGTTTGAGATTTTTCGTGATATTAATCCTTAATGAAATAAATTCTTCTTATCGGACATCTTGTAATCTCATATCATTTCTATGCCAGTATACCCGAATCGTAAATTTCGAAAAACGAAATCACATTCATTTGCATCGAGAGTTGAGACGATTAAAACTTTTAGTGGCATAACTCACAATTATCCTTTTCGTTATTTCTTTCTCACCTAAATTTAATTTCGTTTTTCGGTGAATCATCTTATTTTCACTAGGTGTTGCCAAGTCAGCTATATGAGCAAAGGTTAAAGATGATCGAAGCATATATGGCTATATGACCTGCCCCACTGGATAGCAAAGAAGTCAAAAGAGATAGATATTTTAGTTCCTCCTGGGGAACCGGGGGCAGCTTTACTTTGAGTGTCAAACAACGCTTGTAGGTAGTGAGATTTTGATTATATTTGGCCAATGTTGCATATCAAATATACATATTGAACAATTGTTGGGCTATGAAAGTATCAATTAGTCATGAATATCTTGATTATTACTCGCTTTGAGATTGATTCTTTAGTGAAATCCATCAAATCTCAAAAGTCAAATATTACAAAAGCCAAATACGGGGTAAAAAGTCAAAACACTTGGTCTCAGTTGAAGCCAATGGAAAAATCAACGTTAGAGATCTACTGAGGATCACAATTCCACAAGAAAAAAGTTTTTGTCCTAAGGGTATTATGTCAGGAACTATATAAAATGTTATGTCACTTATATTTTGATATTTGGTCACACCATATCCTTTTTATGATGTTAATGATGTAAGAAAAGATACACCTATCTGACATGTTTGAAATATAAACAAGTCATCGATTTCTCAATTTTTGAGAAGGCTTATGTTTTCTTTGATTGAAGAAATTCCTCTTATCAAATCTCTAATTAGTGGATTGCAAATATTGATATTACTCTCATGCAAATTTAATTAAAAATAACTATTAGTGATTTTTGTAACCCGCCCAATCAGAAAATTGGTTTGAGAAGATTTCATTCAATTAGGAATGAAGGAAAATATGATTTTCTTGAGAATCAACATTGTTGCCATGAAAGACTTACCTAATAGGTCAAATAAGTTTATGTAACGATGCCAACCTAAAAATAAAATGATTCTCTAAGAAAATAAAACCATACTTTAGTTGAAGATGTACTTAAGCCAAACAATTTAGAGGGGATGAATAGGTTGTTTTAAAAGATATTACAAATTTTCGCGGAATATTTCAATCTGGACTGGGATATAACCAAAGATAGATTAATCGATACGTGACATGCTTATATCGGATGCCGTGTGCTTATATCTGGTGCGATATGCTTATATCCAATGCAATATGCTTCCATCATAAAATTATTGAAAAATGAGTGAAGAGATAGAAGATATTGTAAACAGAATTTATAGTGGTTCATCTTATATTAAGTCTATATCTACTCTCCCAAACTATCAACCACTAATAAAGTTGGATTCCACTAGTAATTTCAAGAGAAATTACAACAAAGCTTGAGTAGTTTTCTCCCTGAAACTTGATAGATCACATTATCAGCTCACACTTATAGCTCATACACCTGTACACCTCTCAACTCGTAGATTGTAAGTGGCAGCAAATCTGTACAAAGAGAGCCCAAACAATATGAAGGTTTTTTCAATAAATGCACCCTCTTTCTTCCTCTTGACTTCCAAATTGCCTTAAATTCTTTATATATACTTTCAATCTTCAATATGAACGCTTGAAAGTCTTCAAACTGCTTTAAGGAGCCATTGGTGACTTGATTAATGGCCGGAGATCACGCAACTTGACTTTCTAGCGAGAGCATCAATTTTGGTGTGCTGTCTCTTGACTTCTTGTCCACCAAGGCTTCCTCTATTCAAATTCATTGCCTTTATTTCGAATTTCAAACATCGTGGTCTCACATTAGACTTCAATTTTAGATTAAAATCAAATTGAAGATACATATGGGTCCTTTTTTCAGGTGATAGAGACATGACATAGGGCTGTTCGTCCAGTTGATATAGGCGACTACTTGTATCAGCAGTCCGGTGCCTCTATCAACAGAAACTGCCTCTATCAGCGATCCGCTGCTTTTATCAACATTACATGTTGAAAGTCAACTCTTGATCTACTATCTTCTGGTCCTTCCAAGCACATTGGCCAAGCACATTGGCCATGATGATTAGCTACTCACCTAACCGTGGTCCTTCCGAGTCTTCACACATTCCTTGCTTATATCAGACCTGTTCTCCTTCTACCAGGTCCATCCATCTTTCATCAACCTTTAAGCACAATACTTATTCACCATTGATAGTGGCAAGACATCCCTTACTTTCAAAGACCCATTTAGGACATCGTTAGTCTAGGTCATCTTCTTAGCACGCCATTTAATGAGTTCATGAGCAACTATCTATATTGATAGAAACTGGCTATATCAACAATTCAGTGACTCAACTTTTCACATTTTCCCGCCTCTGATCCTGATCACGCGGGTACTGTTCACTTTCTCTCCCGTTTTCTGATTTTCGCGGTACTGTTCACTCGCCCAGAAGGTGCGCCTCCTGGGGTGTTCCAGCCACCGTTTGTGGCTGTAACTTGGTGGCTAGACTCGCAAGGTTAGCCTTTCACTTTCTCCCGCTTGAATATAGAGATCATTGTGTCTGCTACTCGGGAGAACAGATCTGGAAATTTGGGTTTCTGGTTTTCTGGCTTGCTGTCGGTTTTGGGGGATTATCTGGGCGATACTTCCTGGTTCTCGGATCAATCCTCTGCATTCTGCTAGTCTGGGGGTGGGTTGAATCTTTAAGACGGGGGTAGAATCCTTACTTGACTTTACCCAGAATCTGAGCTGGGTGCTGCTCGACTGGGTTTGAAACGTACCCTCTGCTATATGGCTCCCCTCCTTCAAAGCTGACCATCACTGAAAAGCAAAGTTCTGGGGATCCCTTACCGCGTCTGAAGGGAAACATGGAGCAGGTTGTCCCGCTGAAGGGACCTTCTAAGCCTCCCACACACAATGCTGGCCCGTCTAGAGTCAGTGCCCTATCTGACCATTCTGGGAAAACAGAGCAACCTGCTGTTCAACCAAAGAAAAAGTCTGTATATGTGGCTCATCATGAGCAACGAAATTCTCGGGGTCGAAGTAGGGGCCGTTCCATGTCCAACAGACGCCCGTCTGATGCTGGGATCGCCTTAGTCCCTCCAAGTGACCGATCTCATCGAAGTCGAAGCAAAGGGGCAGCATCTTCCAAGGATCCCCCTCAGGGAATGAAGCAGCAAATAACCCAGAAATCATGGGCGATGGTTGCTAGAACGATGGAAAAGGGGTATGGCCTCTCCTTTATACCTCCAACTATTGTTGATGGCAAACATGTTGTTAGAATATCTGATCATATATTGGAAGAAGCTAATCCGAAATGGAAAGAATGTATCGTTGGATACTTTGTGGGGAAAAAACTCCCCTTCAAGTTGACAGAAACAGCAATCAAAAATGTCTGGGGGTCAAATGTTATTGAAGTCTTAGCTAATCCTGATGGTTTCTTTTTTTTTCCACATTCCGGACGAATTCTATCGTCGGAAAATTCTGGATGGGGGCCTATAACCATTCTCGGAGTCCCCATGATGTTACAAAGAATGGCATCCTACTCGAAACTAGTGAAAGACTGAGCATAAGTCTCTTCCGGTTTGGGTGAAGTTGAGGGACATGCCTGTTTCCTCCGGTCGCCATCGGTATTAGTCTTTGTTGCCGGTGCAATCGGAAAACCTCTTCATGTTGACCTTCAAACAGAGAAGATGAAGATGATATCATACGTTAGAGTGTGCATCGAAATTGGTGCTACACAAAATCTGGCTGACTCCATTGACATTTATATGAATGAGGAAATTTGGAAGATCAAGGTTGAATATGAATGGCGCCCAATCTCGTGCACGACTTGTGGCATCTTTGGGCACAAATGTCCTCCCACAAGTGTGATACCATCTGGGCCTTCTACAGAGCCTAGTCCTCCTATTAGTGCTGATAAAGCCCCTCACAACGCTGATTCATGGCAGACGGTGAGAAACAAAAAGGGCATTCCCCGCAATATTTCAGTAAATAATGCCTCCCCTGATAGTGGTGATCTCTCGGTCCCCCTCCAGATTTCTCAAAAAGGGGATCGCCAAACCCACCAGGTCAATGCAGGGACCTCTTTGGAATCCTCACCAGATTCCTCTGACTCGGAAGACCAGATAGGTGATCATGGTAGCAATGTTGGTGGTGAATCTGAGGATGAGTCTCCCTCCCCCCTCCCGACTATAACTCAACGCAAAGCTCCATTGAATCAAGCCGAAGTGCCAGCTAGCCGTCCCTCTACTTCTGGAATGGCCGACTCTTTGTCTGCAATCTCGACGGATGATGCTGATCTTGCTACCAAAGACCATCCTGTGCTTGTTACTAGGGGCCCAGTTCAAGAGAGCAGTCCCACAACTGCTAAGGCGGCCAGCCGTAAACCAAAAAAACAGGCTGGCACTAAAAGGAGGTAATTTCTCTAGACCCTTCCTTAATGTTTTTTGGCGTTTGGAATATTAGGGGTCTGGGCGACTCCATTAAACAGGCAGAAATAAGAGCCCTCGTTAGAGCTCACAATTTATCCTGTCTTGGCATCCTTGAGACAAAGATTAATCCGACCCTTTTTGAATCCCTCTCCGTTCGACTCGTGCCGGGTTGGGAGTGGAAGACCAATTATGATCTTTCGCCGCGTGGTAGAATATGGATTGGGTGGAATCCGCAAGAAATAGACCTCCAAGTCCTTTCTAGAACCACCCAAGTTATCCATGGTCGGGTTCGTTTGTTGGCACTAAATAAGACTTGTCTGTTTTCGGTTGTTTATGGAGAGCATACTTTTGTGGCTCGCCGTGCTCTTTGGGCGAGATCTTGTGCTTTCAAGTAGTCTGTTTGAAAATGAACCTTGGCTGGTTCTTTGGGGATTTTAATGCTATAAGGGACAACTCTGATAGAATGGGTAGTTCTAACGCATGGTTGCCAGCCTTTGATGATTTCGGCATTTGTTTGGACCAAGCTGGTCTTGATGACCTGAGATATACTGGCCACCGGTTCTCTTGGTCAACTGCAGTGGGAGTAAATCGCAAGCAAAGGAAGATTGATAGGGTGCTGATTAATGCTAACTGGACCAGCTCGTTCTCTTATTCCGAGGCAAACTTCTTGGCTTCCGGAGTTTCTGATCACTCCCCGATGATCATCAGAATTGAACATGCAGTCTCATCGAGAAAGCCATTCAAATTCTTCAATTTTTGGCTATCTCACCAGGCTTTTCCGGATATTGTTAAGCAAGTGTGGGAGTCTCAGATCACTGGAACTCCAATGTTCCGGCTGTGCCAAAAACTCAGAATTCTAAAAGGGAGACTGAAGCAGTTGAATAGAGACTCGTTCTCTGACATTTCGGCCCGCACAGCTCAAGCAAGAGAGATGCTTACGTCCACCCAAGATTCCTTAGCTTGTGATCCTTCTAATATGGATCTGGCGAACCTTGAAAAGGAGCAGCTTCTCATCTTTTCCAATCTACGTCTCCAGGAGGAAGCTTTTTACAAACAAAAATCGAGGATAAGATGGCTGAATGATGGGGACTTGAACACCAAATATTTCCATCATTTCGTCAACAAGCGACAGCATAGCAACCGTATCCTCTCCGTCTCGGACTCTAATGGTGTCCTCCTTTCAGACCCGACATTAGTCCATAACCATATTATCTCGCATTTTCAGACTCTATTATGCGCAAGAGATTCTGATGATGCAAGAGATTCTGATGATCGGCCTTCCTATGCTGACATCCAGCCTATGGTAGCTCGTACTCTCAGTAGTGAACAAATCAACCTGTTATCCAAGGAGGTCTCGGAGTCCGAAATTCGTAAGACTCTCTTCTCCCTTGCCAAAGGTAAGGCCCCGGGGCCGGATGGGTACAATGTTGACTTCTTTATCTCCTCTTGGCAAGTCGTTGGGCAGTCGGTTATATTGGCTATTAAGGATTTTTTTCGATCAGTGCATGCTAAAGGAGATCAATGCCACTATTATTACACTTGTCCCCAAGGTTTCAAATGCCACGGGAATGAACGACTTTAGACCAATTGCATGCTGTAATACAATTTACAAGTGTATAGCCAAAATCCTGGCTAACCGAATTGCTGCTGTGTTGCCATCAATTATAAGTCCTCAGCAGAATGCTTTTGTAAAGGGTAGGAGAATAGGAGACAATATACTCCTCGCACAGGAGTTATTTGCAGGCTTTCACCATGAACCCTATCTACCTAAGTGTGCCATCAAAGTTGATTTCCAGAAGGCTTATGACACTGTAGACTGGAATTTTTTGAAATCAGTTCTGGAAGTCTTTGGGTTCCCTACGATGATCACAAAACTTGTTATGGAATGTGTCACTTCTCCTAAATTCTCGATAGCTAATTATGGAGAATTACATGGTTTCTTTGCGAGTGGAAGAGGAATATGGCAAGGCGACCCCCTATCTCCATACCTGTTCACGCTGGTTATGGAAATATTCTCTGGAATTCTGAATTCACAAACTAGGCTCCCGGGTTTTAAATTCTACTGGAGATGTAAGCCCTCTTGCCTAACACACATGTTCTTTGCCGATGATGTCCTTCTATTTTTAGAGGGAAATATCACATCTGCCACCCTCCTTAAAGAAGGGATTCAGCTCTTCTCCAAATGGTCGGGTCTTTACCCGAACCCCAACAAAAGTGAAGTGTATTTTTCTGGTGGAGCTGCAGATACTAAGGATCGTATTCGGGCTACCTTGGGTTTTATTGAAGGCACTCTCCCTTTCCGTTACCCCGGGGTACCCATCCTCGCTTCGAGGATAACGAAAGCGGATTGTAACTCGCTTGTTAACTCCATAACGGCTCGGGCACGCTCTTGGTCCCATCGTTTTCTGTCTTTTGCTGGGCGTCTGCAACTAATCAGGTCTGTTCTCTATGCTATGCAAGTATATTGGACCAATGTCTTCACTATCCCCCAATCGGCCGCATAGAATAGAAATGATTCTTCGGCAATTTTTGTGGAAAGGTCCCGAATTGGGTATTGGGGGGCAAAAGTCCCATGGAATGAAGTCTGTTTGCCTAAGGAAGAAGGTGGGCTGGGCATTTGTAGGCTGTTCGATTGCAATAGAGCAGCGATGTTAAAACACATATGGATTCTATTTTCAAATAAAGAGTCCTTATGGTGCAAATGGATCCATTCTACCTTCCTCAAGAATAAAAACTTTTGGTTGGTACCGAAGCCCACCTTCTGCTCTTGGGCTTGGAAGAAAATCCTGGATCTACGGTCCCAATTTCGACTGCAATTTCGTTGGCATATAGGTGATGGCTCATCTGTATCATTTTGGTTTGATAATTGGCACCCTAAAGGCCCTCTTTATGAATTGTTCTCTAATAGAGAAATATATTCCTCTGGCATCCCGAGAAGTGCAACTGTCCAGGATTTCTTTTGCTCTTCATGGCATGCATCTTCATTCATGGGAAGTTTCAACTCATGGACTGACCCATTACCAATAATCGGTGACAGTCCCGATACCTTCATCTGGCAAAGCCATTCTACTGGGACATTTTCCACAGCATCGGCGTGGGAGTTCATCAGAACCAAGAGACCAAAAGTGTTCTGGAGCTCCTTTATTTGGGACCGTAGCATTGCACCAAGGTATGCCTTTTTTCTATGGCTTATCTCCAAAAATAGACTCCCAACTCAAGGTTGTGTTACTCAACTACAACAGAATTTCGGAAGCTGTTTATGCATTCTGTAAATGTAGACCGGATTCTAGAGACCACTTGTTTTTTGGTTGCCAATGCACGGGATCCCTTGCATTGTTCTGGGCAAACACTTGCAATCTCTCTTGGAGGAACAAACCGTGGGTAGATAATCTCCTTGGGCAAGCAAATACATTCGGTAACGACTTCCATCATCGGATAGCTCGGTTCTCTCTTGGTGCCTTGTGCCACATTATCGGTCCGAACGGAATCATATACTTTTCAGGAACAAGGCGATGTTCCTACCAGCCATGCGCAATCATCTTGTAAAGGTTGTTCGGGATAGAGGGTTATCTATGCATCCTGTTCAAGACACTCGCCGCAACAGGAAAATACAAACTAATTGGGGCATTTCCTCGTCCATATTCGCGTAACCTGCTGATGCGGTCTTTGTATGTATTTTTCTTAGTTAGTTGGCTGTCTTTTCAGCCTTCTTGCTTTGCTTCCGTACCTTGTTTAGCCTAACACCTTTGCACCTGTTGGGACACTTAGGTGTCGCTCTATGTCCGGGGTTTTTGTGTTTGGCTACAATCTTTGTAAGCTTCGGTTTGAAAAGTTAATACAATCCTTACCTTACCAAAAAAAAAAAAAAAAAAAAACAATTCAGTGACTCTATCCAAGATTTCTGCTGAGCATTGACTTTTGATCTTTTATCTTATGATCCATCCAAGCATATTGACCATCATTGTTCTATTTCAGTCGTTCACCTTTCCAAGGTCCTTCAAACTTTACTAAACATCCTCGTTCTAGGCTTGTTCATGTTTCCATGGTCCTTCCAAGTTTTACTGAACATCCCTGTTCTAGGCTTGTCCACCATTGGTCTATCCAAGCTTTGCCTGACTTCCCCATTCTAAGCTCGTTCACCATACATTGAGCTCATCTAGCTTCTAGATACCTTGATGCCTAATACCTTTGTCACCTTTGATAGAGACAAACTATTCCTTGCTTATAGACGATCCAATGAGTCTAATTGAATTTTCCCATTGGAAACTTGACTTATAAAGTGATATACATTGGTCTTTCTCGGTTTATTAATGATCAAGACTTCACTTGGCTGTCCACCTTATCATGGTATCTCTAAGTACTCATGAACATCCGTTTTTTCCGATTTGTTCTCAATATATTAGTGATCAAGGTCTACCCAACTTGTGTCTTTCCACTATATACTTTCGACATTGACAGCACGTTCCTGATTTGAATGTCACACCATCTATATATTGGCTCGTGCATCTTTTATCTGGTTCTACTCAATCAATAAACACACTAGTAATCTTGATTATTTTTTTATCTTCGGAACGACATAAGGGATTTTCCTAACAAAAGTAGGGTCAGTGTTGGTCCTGTGGTGGCTACACTATCACATAGGGGGTGAATAGGTGATTTTAAGAAACTTGACTAACTTATGTGGAATTGTAAGAGCCAAGTTTGATATAAGCAGAATAACAGTAACAAGTTGATATAAGTAGGAGCAGGTAATATTGTCTAGTGCAGTGCGCTTCTATCAAACAATAAAAAATATGAGTAGAGAGATAGAGAATGATGCACCCAGAGTTTTATAGTGGCTCAACTTGCTTACGTCCACTCTCCCAGATTAATAGCCTACTAGCTTAAATTCACTATTAATATTTTGAGTAGTTACAATAGTATGTGCCCCTTATACTCAAGCACTTCTTTTCGAATCTAGTTTTGCTTATACCCAAGCGAATAGATCACACTATCACACATATAAGCACTAACTATAACATTGATACATTTCTAAAGTGATTACACTTTTTAGTACACTCTGAAAATAATAAATATGTAAAGCTTTCTCTATTAATTAGATTGCTTGTGACTCTTGATCTCTTGCTTCTTTGGTGTCTATTGATCTCCTTTTATGCTCCTCAGTATCTAATCTTCCCAAGGATCAATCTCCAAACTATTTGTTGGATAATTGTTGAGCATATCAATTTAGCCATTGAATTCAATTAATCTGAGATTCCGGAGATTTGATCGCCCATAAAATCAACTTTCACTTTTCATAAACAAAGTAGCTCTAACTATGGAAATAAACTAATCTCCTAATGATTATCAATCAATTAAAATATTTTGCATAATTAAGATCCTCCCCACAATCATTTTGATTTTTCATGAGATTGATTATCAACCAACATCTTCGTTTAGGAATCCAAGCCAAATAACTAGCCGCTTCAAATGTTCAGTTAAAAATCATCTTGGGATATTTTTATCCAGATATCCAAAGCACGTGATAAGCTCTTGAGTATAGGTAATATAAGCGCCCCGCTTGTATCAACAGTTCCCAATTGTATCGGATTTCCTAGTTATATCAGTTCCCAGTTATATTGTATTGCACCATTTGGTCTTTCTTAGTATTTTAGTAAAAAAGACGATAGAAATTATTCACCTTGTCCGGTACTTCCAAGTCTCCACAAATTTTCCATTCTTCATGACTTGTTCACCTCCATAAAAGGTCAGTTCAGTTTTCGTTAGTTTTTCACTTCATACTTCGGATACCTTTGATATTGACAAAGCATATCAATGTCACTCTAGCTTCTATCTTCTAATCCTTCCAAGCATATTGGCAATCATAGCTCTACCTCGTTGTTCACTTAGTCATGGTACCTCCAAGTTTTATTGAAATCCCGTTATAGGCTTGTTCATCTTTTGCTCAAGAAGCTCCAGCTTGTAGACACCTCTATGCCCAATGCCTTGTTCACCATTGATAGAGAACTCATAAACTTTAGATGTCCTATTTGGACATTATCTGCATAACGGCTCGTGCGTCTTTCACTTGGTCTACTCAATTAATACACACATTAGTAGCCTTTAATTATTTTGTCATATTCAAAATATCATAAGGGATTTTCCCAACAGGTCTAACAATCCCAGTGTAAGTACTTCCATATTGTGAAGAAAGAACTCATGTATAGTCAAAATGCACATATTTCAATTTCAAATCATAATGATTTCGAGAGAGGGAACCAAAACAAGTAATTAGGAGGACCTCAATTTCGTCAAAATGATTATTTAACGCATATGCAACTGGGCTTAGTCAAAGTGATGCTTAAGGAGATGGTCAGGACAATGCGGTTGTTTGCTTGGGGCTTAATAATGTTTGGCCAAAAAAACAATTTATAATTAAGCGTGATCAAAGGTGCCTTTTATATAATCAAGAATTCTATCATTTTATCAAGTCAATCAATGTTAAAGGTATTCAATGTAGGGGAGTAGATAGATAAAGAAATAGGGAAAATAATAGTGATGTACAAGCTTCTTCTTTGACCTATTATTTGTCAATGCCAGAAA